GACAATATCTGCTAACGATGGGTTTGGAGTGTTACAAATGATATCAGAGCTAGACACTGAGCGGTGTGCTAGTGAGGATGCTAGGCCCATAAGAGGGGTAGATTGTGAGATCCCACATCGATTGAAGAGTGAAACGAAACACTCCTTATAAGGGTGTAAAAATCTCTCTCTAGTAGACGCATTTTAAAATCGTGATGCTAATGGTGATACGTATTGGGCTTTGGCTTGGGATGTTACACTCTCTTTTTCTTGTAGAATCTGTTGTGTTTGCCCTTGCTTCCCTTCAATTTTCTCAATTTCTTACCCCAAAAAAAATCTATTTACTACGACATTTAACTTTTAAGATCTCCATCCCATGTTTACAGGATATCTACAGTCTCTCTATGGAGTTTACTCTCTTAGGATAGAGAATGCTGGCCTGAGAAGACCACCTGGTGATGACGTTCAAATTCAAGGAGTTACAGACCCAATTGCATTTAAAAAGGTACTTTTTGGTATCAAGGAATAGGTTTCCAATGATCTTAAAGGTCACCCTCGTTCTGCATTTCTCAGGCTGTTCTAATGCGTCTCTCTGATATGAGGAATGATGGCAGTGAAGAAGTTCCAAATACAAGGGTAGGTCATTTCATAATCCTACCTGTCAAATGATGACATTGACTAAAAATACATATATTTTTTCTAAATCATAGGTGACATCTCCATCGAAATCTCTAAAGTATGACCCGTACTTCTATTCGGGGGAACGAGTACTTCAGAAAGTAGATGAGGTTGGAAGCTCTGTGAAGGTATCAACTAATTATCCCTATCCGTTTTTATATAAACGCCATTGTTTTTCCTTTTGTATTACTGATTGGTTGGTTGTGTCTGCTACAGAGAATTCAAGCTTTGATTGAAGAACAGCGGTCTCAAGCATCTAACCCTTTAGAATGAAGTAAGTTGATTAAAAACATCTGGGAAACTGTAAACACTGAGCTCAGTTAAGAACTTTATGCGTGCCTTACCCAACTTTTGTGATGAGTGTCGAGTTTACTTTGCTCGAGCAAATAAAGCTTTCACTGGTTTACTACTTTATTTTTGAGGTGGCTCAAACAATATAAGATCCCACATCGGTTGGAGAGGAGAATGAAGCATTCCTTATAAGGGTGTGGAAACCTCTCCCTAGCATACTCATTTTAAAAACCTTTAGTGGAAGCTCAAAAAGTAAAGTCTAAAGAAGACAATATCTGCTAGCGGTGAGCTTGGCTATGTTTCTGGGCCTTGTACAACACCTCTATTACCATTTGCTATTTGATTATATCAACCAAAAAATACTCTAGTGAGTAGATTGGTTCTAACGTCGACCCTGCATATCATTCTTCCTCGTCTAGATGTCTCTTTTAGATGCTGCTATCCGAGCACCGAAACGGTAGAAGACCAGTCCCAGTTTTTCAAGGATTGGAGCTGAATAAGCGGAAGAAAATGTACTTCTAATGACTAAGGTTTGTTCTAAACTCTCCTCTATGGCTGATGAGTTGATGAGTATCAATTACCATTAATGAACTGATTGAGGCTGAAGTTTTCTGCAAGAAAGGTTCAAGTTTTTATTCTTGCTTGTATAGATAGATGTATTTTTACCCTTGAAAACCACCCTTAAAGTATATATGATATACATATGGTTTTGGTTTTTTATAGCTTAAATTAAACGTTTAGTTCTTGAACTTCAAGATCGTGATCATCGAGCTTCTAACCTTTAACGAATATCTTACAAGTCCTTGACATTCCAAATGTGCTGATAGATCCCGTAAACTTTCGATGTTGTGCTTAATAGAGTAGATTTTTTGTTTCTCGTGTTCGTGTTATTGTTTTGGTTTCTATTTTGAATAATCAAACAACTTTTTCATTTATTGCATGCCATGTGATTTTACATTATTGGGAGTGGTTGGATATACTCCTAATGACATTGAGGCATTAAAATGATTATTATAGTTTTTCTTTTAGAACAATAAAAATTTAACTACTGATGCTTGGTATGGTATAGCTAATTCATGAACTTTATCATATTCTTTTTGCATTCAGTTTGAAATTAATAGGCTCGTTCTTAGGGGTGCACATGGGTGGGTTGGAATTTTTTTTTGGACTAACTCGAGATTTTGGGTTGATCAGATTGGTGACCCAAATAGGATTCACAACTCGACCCACTATTCTTGGGTTGGATTAGATCGTTAAGTTGTTCAATTTTTTTTTTTTTTAAATTGTTCTTATTTATAATAGATATTGTATTTATAAGTTGTAGGAGATCATTCATATTTGTTACAAACGTTAAATATTTTTGGATTGAGTTATGAACTCTAGTTTTAAGTTAGTCGGGTGAACCTTGTTAGACGAACACGACTCTCCACAATGGTATGATATTGTCCACTTTGAGCATAAACTCTCATGGTTTTGCTTTGGGCTTCCCAAAAGGCCTCATACCAATGAAGAGTGTATTCTTAGATTATAAACCCATGACCATTCCCTAAATTAACCGATGTGGGACTTTCATCATCCAACACCTCCCCTTGAACAAAGCACGCCTCCCCTTATTCGAGGCTCGACTCCTTTGGAGTCTTAGTCATTTTTGACTAACCTGACCGAACAAGTTTCAATTTGAGAACTAAACTTTTGATTTTTCAAAAAATCAACCATCCAAACTGGAAAAAAAAAAAATATATATATATATATAATCCAACTCAACTCTTATGATTTGGGTTGGTTCAAGCTATTCGTCACCGGATCATATAAACACTATTCATTCTTTCTTACTAAGAACAATTACCGTTAAACTATTAATTCATCATTTTGTTAAATCATGTATCGCTATCAATTAAATTGTTACAAATAATAAGAAAAAACTAAACGTGTGTGATATACAAAATAACTCAATATAATTTAGGTCGGGTAATCAAACTACCGTATGAAAATTGACCGTATAAAATTAGTACGCATCCCCCAACTTAACATCATTGATGAACATATGACTAGGGACTCATATGACTAGGGACTACAAGCAAATCAATTATATTAATTATTTATGGTTAAAGGCTCAGTTTAATTATAGATTGCTTCATTTTTTTAATGATCCGATATAATTATTAAATTAAAAAAATGAAAATAAATATTAAAAAAAATCTAACGGTTCGATGTAATTAGGTAAACCACCGTCGGTTGGAAGTTGGTGGACCACCGGCCGAACCGAGGGACCCAATTAGATAGGAATTGCTTGGCTAATAATCTTCTTCATACATATATATATATATATATATGGTAAATTTAGGTCGTACTAAAAAAAAATTTAATATAATATAAAATTTAGCTCCGTCTACCCTTTTAAAAGTCTCACAAAGTTCGCTCCGCACCACGACATGTACGGTAGGATAGCTCGCTTAAATTTATATTAGAAGATATAGGGCAGTCTAGAAGTGGTCGTAAGTTATTATCCACTGTGTCATTAATTTATTAATTTATGAAGTTTAAAATTTATAATATTTATTTAATGATGTATTACGATTAATAATTAAATTTGTTTGTTTAATTAATAATTAAAACGTTTTGGTTTTTTCAATGTTCAAATAAAAAAACGAATTTCTTATAAATTACAATTTTTTTATTTTTTTTGTTCATATAGGATATTGATCGAAACTTTAGTTTAGTATATTAAATTGTTTTTTTATAAGAGATTTACTGGTCTCTAAATCATGCTATTTGAGTCGGGATACATAGAGTACTGTATTTCACTTTCGCCTTTCGATTCTCATTTATCATACATCTCTCAAGTCATTTCACAAAGTCGGGCTAGAGTCAAGCTTAATAGAGTCTTTTTTTCTGTCGATTCTACCAAGCTTGTTTTGTTCTCTCTTGTTTTTTAATTTTATGTTATTTTCTTATAAATTTTTTATAATAACTTTTATTTAACAATGTTTTTTAATTTTAGGTTAAATTTGAAAACATTTGTAACAAATAAAAATAGAAAAAAAAAATTAAATTATAGTTGAGAGTAGTATTTTAAAATTTTAATTTTTAAAATAAAAAGGAAAAATCAAATTATTATTTCGTTGTTTTTGTTATATTTTATATTTTATTTATATTTATTCTTAGTTTATATCATAAACAAAAATAACTCGTGAAAATTGGATTTATAAATTTAATTTTTAAAAACTAATAATAAAAAATTAAATTATTCTCAAAGATATTCACAATAATTTTATTTATACAATTTTAATTTAAATTATATTCATAATTTATATCATAAAATGTTACCAAACTAATTTATATAAATTTATGTTAAACAATTAATATATTATAACATCACCAAAGGATAAATAAATTAACACATGATCGAAAATTAAACTCTATCAGTAATTAAAAAATATGATATTTAATAAATATTTAAAAAATCATTAATTTTTTTCACATAATAAAATATTTTTTTCTTTAAATTTTCTTTAATAAAACTAAAATTCAATAAAATACAAAATAAAAATAATTATACTTTTGTTGAGATTTCGGTTCGTCAACCAAAAACAACTCAGGTAGAATTTAAGATTGTTCGGCCACTAGAGTCGTAGACAATTGAACTGCACGTTTAAACTCTCACATGATCAAACTCTCACATGTAATGTCGCTCTCGTCTTGTAATCTTAGTTTACAACAACACGACCCTCGTATCGTAGCTATCCCGGCTAATTATCATTGACCTTTATAGGGTTAAAAAAGTCAACACTTAATTATTAAATGAAAATTTATATTATAGTAATTAAGTTAATTTCAAAAGATGGATAAATAAAGCATCTAAATAGAATATTCAAAATAGAAATTAGAATATTCATAATATTTTATTTATGTAAAAACGCCGGAACCATTTTTTTTTATATTATTATTTTTTTAACTTAAAAATTTTAAAAATTAATAAAATTATCAGAAAATATAAAAAGGAAAAAGGAAAAATATTTATGGTCAGAGATCCTCGTAATTTTGATTGTAGCGCATCTTGTGAAGCTCAGACGCTTCTTCCTCTCCATTTCCACCAATTGTAGAGAGAGAAGCTCCGAGACGGAAGAGAGAGAAAGAGTGTGCAGAGAAGAACAGTTGTCGTTCGCTTCCTCAGACGACTCAGATTGCTTGTTTCTTCTTCAACGCTTTCAACACTTGTTTGTGAACCACCAACGATTCAAATGCAACCATCAATCAATCTCTTACTCACGACGCCACAACCACCTCCACCACCACCTCTGTAATTATCTCTGCTTCTTGTTCTTGTTCTTGTTGTTCTTATTTACTTCCATGGCTTCCTTTGCTGTTGAATCTCCTTTCTGTACTTGGCTTGTTGCCGCTTGCATGTCCGCCACTTGCTTTAAGGACCATTCCGTTAATGCCTCCATCCGTCATTCTTCCAAAAGATTGACATCCACCTCAAGGAGGAAGCTGCAATCTAAATGTTGTAGTTTCACCTCCCAATTCAATGCTGGATTGGTTTCTTCTTTCAGTGGATTCAATATTCATGGCCTAATGAACTCATGCCTTGCTTTCGAGCCCTGCGATGAGTACTGTAGCAGTAGTTATGCCCTTTCTTCTCTCGCCTCCGTAGGTAATAATGGCTTCTCCTTACTTTTTGGACCTAAGACTCTCCCCGCTAACCGTCGGCAGAAGCGTGCAAATCGGGCTTCACGTTCAGGTGATTGAGTTTTTTTCTTTTCCCGTTCTCGGTTATTTGCTGCGATGTATTTTTCTTTTCACCTGTTCTGTGCTGTTTCTTTGGTGGTTTCTGGAATTTGTATTGCGGTTGGAATTAGTACCTTACATGTCTGTTTTGCTCTTACATGGACTGTCTCGAATCTGCTTGTTTGGCTTGCTGCTTCCGGCTTTTCGCTACCTTGACTGGAACCTTTGGTTTTTGTTTACCTAATTTTTCCTGCTGATTTCTCAAATAGACCTGTTAAAGGAAGGAGCAATTAGATTAATATCGACACTTCTTGGCAAGAATCTGGCGTTATCGAGTTCTTTATATTTTTTTTCCACTCGATTCAGATTCATCTCTTTTTCTTTTCTAAATTTCAACTTCATCGGACGAGTGTATCGAATTAATATGTTTTTCCACCGCCGCTGAATCAAGTATTTATGTTGCAACGCTGTAATCTTTGTTATTTGTCACTGACCCAACTCGTCATGCCCATACCGCTTCTTGTTTGTTATTATTTATTATTTTTTTTGGAGTTCACGAAGTGTTGTTTTTTTGCAGTGTTTCATTTTGCCCATTGTCATGCTTTGTCATGTTTCTCTCTACCACTTACAATCGTAGTTCATGTCAAATGTCATTCGTCATTGGCTTTAATTGGCTCTCACCATTCTGGTCTGCACTTCTCAAACCTGACTAATATACTTCTAAGTTGCCTCAACCCCAAACCTATATTCTTGTGGGTGATCTGACCAGTATACATTACTGTCTGTCCGCAACATAAATAGTCTTGTCATGTATATGTCTTCAATACACTGAAGCTGGTTGTTTCTTAGTCCTCCTGCAAGTATGAAGTTTCCATGATCCTAAAAAGTTGGTATTGAGTTCTGTATATAGTTTAGGTCTGTTCTGTTGGATTCTAATGTCACTGGACCTGAAAAACTTTATTTAGTAGAAACAGGGCAATGTGAAATATTCTGTGAAAAAATGAAAAGAATACTGAATCCGATTGTTGTATTGTCATTTTATTTAAACTTCAGGTGAGACTGTCGCTATAGCTGTTCAGCCAGCTGAAGATGTGGGAAGGAAAAAGAAACACCATACAAAACAAAGAAGAGTAGTTGTCACTGGAATGGGTGTGGTGACGCCTTTGGGCCATGATCTTGACATCTTCTACAAAAATTTGCTGGAGGGTGTCAGTGGAATTAGCGAGATTGAGGCATTTGATTGTTCCCAGTTCCCCACCGTAAATATACCTTCATCTAAAAAATTCCTGAAACCAGCGTTATCTGTTTGCCTGTCTGAATTCTGATTATTTTTTCAGAGAATTGCTGGAGAGATTAAAACTTTCTCTACTGATGGATGGGTTGCACCAAAATTCTCTAAGCGGATGGATAAGTTCATGCTTTACATGCTTATTGCTGGAAAAAAAGCCCTAGAGGATGGGGGATTTACAAAAGAGCTTAGAGAAAAGTTGGATAAAACTAAATGTGGAGTACTGATTGGTTCAGCAATGGGAGGCATGAAGGTAATCCCTAATTCTACGCTTGATACTAGGGGAGTGATTTGGAGGGTAATATTACCAATCTGTGATTTTACCTACTTCCTTCGCATCTGAAAAAGATTACTTCTTGTAAAACTGTTACCTGAAAGGTTTGTTATCTTAATCCTTCTACAGATTTTCTACTCAAAGATACTATAGGATAGCCATTTAATTTTTACTAAGATGGGACAAGATATGCAGCTTTATTTTATTTAATGTTAATTTATTGTTTTCTTAATTTTGAATGTGCTACTGTGGATTTTTTTTTCCCCCATTTATTGTTATTCTTATTATTTATCAAAACTTCTTCCTATTAACTTATATTGAATAGGTCTTTAATGATGCAATTGAAGCATTGCGAATTTCATACAAGAAGATGAATCCTTTCTGTGTTCCATTTGCAACTACAAACATGGGTTCTGCCATGCTAGCTATGGATCTGGTCAGTGAATCCTTTTGTGGATATAGTAAATTAAAAAGAAAAAAGAAGAAGAAACTCTTAAGGTATTGTAGTTATTGATTTCTTAACATTATTGTGAAATACTTATTTTGAAATTGTAGGGATGGATGGGCCCAAACTATTCAATTTCTACTGCTTGTGCTACGAGCAACTTTTGTATACTAAATGCTGCTAATCACATAATTAGAGGCGAAGCTGTAAGTTATCAATTTCTCAGGAACTAAGGAGTGGATTAATCTAGTTTCCAACCTTTTCTCTTTCTCTTGGTATGCGACTTACTTGATTACTTGTGTGTTGGCATAGTTTTTCCAATATCCCAACAAGGCTATTAACTGACTAAAGTACTTTTCAATATATGCATTCTCTTGTGAAGTTTGACTACATGTCAGAAAGCATATTTGCAAATTTCAATAACAAGTGCCTTGGAGGAAGCTAGTTGATAGGCTCCGAAGAATATTTTGGAAAATATGGGTGGTTCAAGTACTGCGCGTTTGAGAGGCCTAGAAACTCTACAAGATTCTAGAGTAGAGACATTCTAGTTCCATCAAGTTCACAGCACACACTTTTCCTCCCTTCCTTCTCTTTCTCTAGCAACATACTGAAAACCCCGTGTTTTTCCTTTTCTAACTGTCTCTACACATAGACTATCATTCCCTTGTATCCATTACAGTCCATACGCACTTCTTCTTTGCTATTATTCGCTCTCCTCCATAAACAAAGCAAACAAGTATTGGCATTCATAAGCAAACGAGTACTTAACTACTGTCTTTTTCTCAGAAGTTCTTACTAGAGAAGTGTTTCATATAAGTATCATAACCAAATCCTATGTTTTCTTGACATCGATTCTCAAGTCAACTGAAATGTTTCCATGTGTTTTATTCTGTTCTTGTTGCATGTAAGAATAATATTGTGATAACTATGCTGTTAAATGAAGTTTAAATGGAGGTGCAAGCGTAGTTTTAGAAGGAAAAAAAGTAACTTAGAAAAGCAACAATTTAAATGTCAGAATTGTTGCTATAGTTTCTGTTTTCTTATGTGCAGGATCTAATGCTCTGTGGAGGTTCAGATGCAGCAATTATACCAATTGGTATGTCTATTTATTATGTAAATAAAGTTTTTAACTCTTTTTGCCTGAGATATTCGAAGTGAATCTATTTTATTTTACTGCTTATAGGTTTGGGAGGGTTTGTTGCTTGCAATACACTTTCACAAAGAAACAGTGATCCTACCAAAGCTTCAAGGCCTTGGGATATTGTAATGTCAGCTTCATTTTTTGTTTCCTTTTGATTGTCTGAATCATAGTTTTTCAGTAAACAAAAACATTGCTCATGAATAAATAAAATATCAACAACCAAGGTCTCTTAAACCTGGGTTAACTTTCTTATCTAATAAACTTAATCTTAACTTGCAAAGAGGTGGAATAAGTCGTTGCAGGATTTAGTTTTTCTTGATAGGAAAATATAATAATTTTTGTTTGGTGTGGTTCTGTGTCGTTTCTCTGAACAAATAGGAAGTACAATGGTGAACATACTTTTAAGCAACACTGGAACTTTCTTACTTAAAAAAAAAAATGCGGCAAAAGTCACCAATAGGTAATCTTTAATCATAAACCTGATGTGCTTGTTATCTCCATTTTGATGCTTAGCATTTTTGTTTCATACAGAATCGTGATGGATTTGTTATGGGGGAGGGGTCTGGAGTTTTGCTTTTAGAAGAATTAGAGCACGCAAAGGTATGGTCAGTGCAATTATTTTTAATGACCATTTCAAATGAATCTTTTCCCCTCATCCTCTAGTTCAATGAAGGACAACTTCACCTGTTTCGCTGGAGTGCCCTCCTGTCCAAAGCTTTACAGCATTTCTCATCCTTGCCTCATTATAGTTTTTCCAACGTCATCTTATTCATAATTTTTCATAATGTTGCTGAAGCCCGTGCATCTATTTGTTGTAAAGTATCTGAAAAAATTTGCTATTTCCTGATTCCACAATTGCAGCAACGCGGTACCCAAATCTATGCAGAATTTCTTGGTGGAAGTTTCACTTGTGATGCTTATCACATGACCGAACCACACCCTGACGGTAATCCTCTATCATTAACTGAGAAATTGATGGATTTTCTTCTGTTTCAAAACAAAATTTGGAATTTTTAATTATGATTATCATTTTGTTTTATTAGTTCAATAACTTATGGGAGTGGGGGATAAAAATATCTGACGGACTTTAACTAGTTGAGTTATGTGGTAAGATTAATTGGATTATTTTTACAATTTTAAATTATGGAATTCCACCAGTTAAAGGGTCTTATTATTTTCTCCAAGTGGTTCACTTTTCTATGGTAGGGTATGCTTTTTACTGGGCTTCATGAACTTCTAAAAAGGAGTTTTTAATGATTTCTAATTGGAGGTAACTTTCAAATCGATTATTAATTTAGGTGGAAAAAATAGTCAATCAATCATTAAGGATTTAATTTTAAAGTAGATTTCTTAACTCCATCTTTAATCATTGAGAGTCCATCTTTTTCATTGGATTTGTATCATATTTTTTTTGTCAAGTAATTTATCCATTCAAATACCAAATGTAACTGGATTTGATGTTTTTTTTTACTAATATGATCGAATTTCCTTAGAAAATTGCCTTACTTTCCCTCAAACGAAAATCAAATCATGGAAGGTTTTACTATGAGTGAGAATGTAAGTTTTTTTTCTTTTTCTTTTTCTTCCTATTTCCTCTCTCTGTCTCTCTTCTTCTTTCTCTAAATAAATTCTTAATTTTTATGTTACAATTAAATGAATTAATTTACTGTGCCATGAGCTTTTCCAGGAGATTTTTATTTTCCTTAACTTAAAGAATTACTCCAGCTATTCAGTGTGAAGAAATTTAACATTGAGATCAAAACACTTGTGTAACACCATAAATCTTCACAACATATTCAAAACACATGGTACATAACTTGTAGCGTGCAAACAACTGTACTTAACTTTTAAGTTGGACGAAAAATTATTATATAATCTGAAAATCAGAGTGAGATATATCTCAGTGTAAGATACTTTGACATGAAAGGAGAATGATCATACAACATTGAAGTCAAATAGATCAGATTATTCCCCATTGGTCCTGTTTATTTGGAGGTTTAAACATAAGAACGGTTATAGTTATGGGTATGATGTTTCTTTCCTTCTTTTGGTTGAAATTGTGACTTGATTTTAAAGGGTGCTTAGAAATCCTTGATTCTCTGCTATTCTATTCCCCTTGAAATCATGGGTTTGGATAAATAAATTAATAAATCTCTACAATGGTAATTTCATAATTAAATTTTCAAAGTTCTATTCTTTTATGAAAATAATCTTATGAGAATGATATGCGAACATTAGCATATAACTTAGTGGTTAAGGCATCCCTACTCAAATCTTAGAGATTATAGTTTCAAATCCCCACCCCTACCTTTGTCATAACCTTTTAAAAAATATTACTAGAATGATATGTGTTCATCAATTTAGGTCATTATACAACTTCAAATTAATACTGATATTACACTTTATTGTACAACTTTTTAACTGTATAATATGTTTTTCTCGATATTTCATAGTTATGAATGCTTCTTCTCTGTTAAGGAGCTACTTAGTTTAGATTGGGCAGAATTTTAACAGACTACTTATTCTAGTAGAACTGGTTATGGATTAATAGAGTCTGTAAATCATTAAAACCATTTAAGCTAGCATGCCAATTTCCTGAGATCAAATATTAAGATAATTTTGAAAGGAGAGAGCCTTCCTCGAGAGAGTGAGACTAAAGGGAGGGAATAGAGAGCGAAGTCTTAGGGTTCTGTCATTGTTGTGTGTGGCAAGAGATTGGAAATGAAGGAGGGTGAGTGGGAAGACGAAGTGGTCCAGTGACCAAATGGGATATTGTTTCCTTCTTTGAGACAAAGAGTTGGGGAGTCTTTTTCCCACCGCTCTTCCCTCAGATTCAAGGCATTTTGTGATCTTGGGGTTGAAGATGTGGAATCTGTGATTGAGGCAAAAATGTGATGGTTGTTCCAAGGCAGAGGAGAGGTAGGTACAAAGGTGGAAGTAACAAGAGGAAGAGGTGGTGGAGGAAAATGTGGTGATGGTGGACGATACAGGTTTATTGCTGACCAAGGCGAGCACAGTAGTTATGGTGTTGGTAATGGTGGTGTTTGCTTTAAGTGCAGGGTGATGGGCATATAGTCAAGGATTGCTACCTGCAAGGTGGTGCAGATAGGTATGCTTGCAGTAGTGGATACTGCTACAGTTGCAGCGAGTGTGGACACTTTGCCTGTGGGTTCAAAGTTGGCTGTTTATCTCACAAATTAGTGACTTGCGTTTACTTTTCTTGCTTCCTGGGGTGTCTTAATCAGTTTCCTTCTCCTTTGGTCTCTGTTTTGACTGGGTCTGTAAGATGATCTTTAAAAGGATTGGGTATCTATAAGTTTTCTTCATTGCCCCCTTGGTGTAGGTTTTTTAAAGGGATATTTTTATCAGGGATCATTTACAAAGTGATGATTAATGGGGGAGGAGTCTTTCTTGATTCGTTGTCTCTTTATTGTCAGGTCCAAGATTTTGTATACAATGCTGGGTTTGAATGGGAAAATGGGAGGGTATATGATTACTTTTGGTGTGGGTAAATGGATGTTTGTTTTTTTCTTTATGATAATTCTATTGGAGCTGGATCACTAGAGGATGGTAGCTCATAAGAAAATGGAAAGTCTATTAGAGGCTCTGTCATTACAAAGAAGATTTTAGGTATATAAAACGTGATGGAGGCGGAGTTGAGTCTATCGAGGGAGAGATGCAACGATTCATGGAGAAGAACATAGGGTGTGCAATGAAGAAACTTGGAAGGATTAGGGGATTGGCGGAGTTGATAAGTAACATTTTGTAGTAGTGTTGGACAAACAGAGTGTGATGGGAGCGTACATCTTTGGAAATGTGTATCTTCAATGGGGAAAATCCAGACAGTTGGCTGCCCACATGGTTGGTTAAGAGGGCACAAAATCTTCTTTACAATCCTTTCTGGCCTAAGATACCTTCTTGAACGGAATGAGATCGAAGGTAACCACACCCCAGATTGATCCCTTGGTGTGGCACCATGACCTTCCCGAGAGAAAGTTCTACTTCTATTGTTTACTAGAGGGAGTGCTGGTCAGATTTTGAAGAGAGACATTTTTAAGAGGATAACTTTCACTAGTGTTTTCCATTTTTGGAGATGTCTAGCTCATAGAATAAGTTTGTGTTGCCGAAGTTTGAGGTTTGCTAATCTCATTTGCTTCATAAATTTAAACCACCTTTTCTATTAAATACGAACTTAAAATATAAATCCTCACTTCACATCAAATGCAAGTTATACAAACCTAAGTTTTTATTACATATTCCTAAACATAATCCAACACCAAGCATTCCAATCCCAAATTTACTAAAATTTATTAAAATCACCATTCAGAGTGTTGACATCCTGTATTATGCTTTATATGACAACTTAAACAGGGGCTGGAGTTATTCTGTGCATAGAGAAGGCATTAGCTCAGTCTGGAATATCTAAGGAAGATGTGAATTACGTTAATGCTCATGCGACATCTTCACTGGCTGAAGACGTCAAAGAATATCAAGCTCTTGTACATTGTTTTGGCAACAACCGTGAGGTTAAACCATGCAAATACAATTTTTACTTCGGTCTAAAATATAAGTTTCTGCATGCTTAACATTGCTATGATTTTGCAGTTAAAAGTGAACTCCACAAAGTCTATGGTTGGCCATCTACTAGGGGCCGCTGGTGCCGTTGAGGCTGTTGCTACCATACAGGTGAGATTTATCAAACGTGATGATTAGAATTGAATAATGGAAGCTTCTCAAATTTCTTTTCAACTGTCTGATTATTCATATTGTGAACAAAGCTGCTGAAAAGCTTATCCATCATACATTTCTGATTTTATATACGATTTTACCTTATCATCATGATTATTAAATATATAGTTTCCAATTACATTTAAGTTGCTGATGTCAGACTACTTCCTGGTACAGGCCATAAGAACAGGATGGATCCATCCAAATATTAACTTAGAAAACCCAGATAAAGGCGTGGTATGTTGCTTGTTATGAGGATCACTTTTTCACATTTTCATGATTGCACATGATCTGATCAATCTATTGCATGATTATGGAAATTGTTTAATCTCTTTCGTAACATACTCCAATGCCAACAAATGACTAACTACAGGACACAAATATACTTGTGGGCCCAAAGAAAGAAAGATTGGAAATCAAGGTGGCTCTGTCCAACTCCTTTGGCTTTGGCGGCCACAATTCATCCATCCTATTTGCCCCCTATAAGTGAAACTCTGAAAACTGAAATGGGAGTCGTCCAGCCTAATGTGTACAAGGTACGTGGTTTTTCTTTTTTTTTTTTCTTCCCCTATTTTCATCTCACTCTTTGGAGGTAAGAATTATGTTAGTGTTTTTTTTTTCCTTAGACCTCAAGCCTCTTTTCTCAACTAGGTGAGCTATGCTTATGTTTGTATGTTTGCGAAAGAACGTAGGAATGTTATTGTGTTTAAAATTGACAGATTCAACGTTTTTTCTTTTTTGTTCTTTTCCTCTTCAATCAAAGTTTGTATAGACAGTCTAAATTCAGTTATGTCTTGCAGTTACTGACTAATGTGGGGATATTCGCAATGGTCTGTTATAATTGTTTCATAAGACACACAGCAACGCAAATCGGTAGGCCGTTCAATTGCTTGTGATCGAGCAGGATACAGGCCAATGATCGTCTGGTTAAACATTAGAACATTTTCCAAACAGTTGTGTAGTACTATGATGATTTTGACGAATTAAGTTAGCTTCTACACCGTTGATAAACAATACCCAAAAAACAAAACAAAACAAAACAAAACCAGGCCCTTCTACTCTGCTGCAATATTTTCCATGTAGATGGAACCCCTAATTGAAGAGGTGTTTTCATTAAACATATCATATGCTTTTATATAGCAATATTTTTCCTCATTGATTTCTTGTACTAAAAGTGGTGCATAAGTATGGGTTCAACAGAGGGTGTTCATCAAACTAAAGAATTTTGGAGATTAAAAAGTGTACATATATTGTACGTAACAATGCCCTGCATTAATGCATGGTGCTAGATTGCACAACATTTCTCATGTCGATGTGAAGATCCCAATACTTTTAATCTCGGTATTTTTTTTGATGTGTTGCTAATACTAGCAAAATGTTATATATCTTTATTTTCAAGATTTAGGTCCTTTCGATTAAAAAAAAAAAAAAAAAATCTTTGAACTTAGAATATCCCATAAATATTTCGAATCAATCCATAGAATTGTCATTTAAGAATTTCATACAAAAATTGAGACTTAAAAAGTAGATGTTTAATAAACATAAAACGAAAATTCAGATGTTCTAAATCACCGCCACACAACATTAGATCTCAATTTTCATCTCAGAATGTGTATTCCAAAGATAATTAAATATAATTAAATACTAATGCAACCATTAAAACTTCAAATCTATAACTAAATATTCGAATGTCACATTGAATAAATAAATTATTCCACAATATATCATAAGTACACAAGCTCCAAACAAAACTGTGACAAAACAATGGAACCCTTCTTCTACTGAAACGGGTGAAAAATATACAGCAACTCATTTGAGATTTTTCTGAAGGAAAAAAAATTATATGTAACCTTAACCTAGACTCATTTGAGGATTAGGGTTTTCTTGCCACCTTTGTTGCGACTCTTCCTAATCTTGGAACCTTTGCTTGACAGAATACTTGAGGCACTCTTGCCTTCAAGTTTCTTTGTCATATTTACCACACTAACCATTCCCTTCCGAGCAGCGGCTCGATGCTCCGGTCGACGGCTCATCATCTTCCGATCAAGAGGCCAATATGCATAAGGTTCAAGCTTGTCCTTCCTCTTAACATCCCCTCCAGCCTTCTTGCTAGCATACTCGGTACCAGTGTAAGCCCACCCAGAGTCTGATGTTCTTTTGCGCTTTTGAATTTTCTTGGAGGAACCATTTGACAAGTGACTCCCAACTTCACTCCTTTCATCTAAATCACGGTTGGAAGCTTTTCTCTTGTTCTTTATTTCATCATCATCATCGGCAATTATTAAACGTCCCTCATCGTCGATCTTCATCTCACCATCCGACAAATCTGTCTTCCGTTTTAGATGCGCTGATGATTGAAGAGCATATCTTGTTCTTTGTTGATCAAGCAAGTCGAGAGGCTCATCTTCCAATTGGTCGGGCAAGCGTTCAAGTAAATTCATGGTTGACCGGTTCTTGGGACTGAAGTGTTCAAAAATCAAGATTGCAATCACCAATCTAGGCAAATGGGAATGCATTACTCTAAATTAAACTTGGAATGAAAATGCAAACGGACCGTTTAGATGTCTTGGATTTGAGGTGTGAGGAAGCCTTTGATGGTCGACTTTTTCTAGCATCCCCATATTCTGAATCACTTTCCCCCAAGTATTCAGCACCACTGTCTTCAGTCTCATCATCACCGACTTCCGAAAAAATTCTTGAATGATTCCATCTACTCATCCTGAAAGTAAACCAATAGTCACAAGTTGAGAAGTTGTAAAATGCAGAAATTTCGAGGGCTTAAAAACAGTGAGTATTGGCGCAGAAATTCCAAACGAAATGCAGCACTTAAAAAGCCATCAATCATATCTTGTAACACTCAGAAGGTTCTTTCCTCCGCTCGATCATCTCCCTACCCACCACCACCATCACCACCACCAAAAGAATAAAGGTTAAAAGAAATTATTGGTAATAGGAGGAAAAAGATCTGATCTGATAAAGTCCGCTGGTCCACTGGTTACCAGTATGGCTAGTAATTTCTAGTGACAACTGTATATTTCTTGATTGACCCCAAGGGGCAGAAACTTTGGCAATGACTTGGGTCCTCTCGGTCATACTAACTTAAAAAGTTCCAGGTTCTAACATTTAGGTGAGCTTCATACCAAAACCCATTGATTCTCCTAAATCCAGCCTTGAGTGGGCGTGGGTGACCGACCCATGGTATAGAGCAGGAAGGCTCCAACTCCCGGTTATCGAAGAAAAGAACAAATATATTTCTTCATGTTAAGTGCATAGACTAGAGTCCCAACAAACCTTTTCGTTAGTGAAAACTATTCATTTATCAACAAGCACTATGCACAAAATAGCGCTATGCACGCATTGAAGTACGTAACCATTAGATGAACTGTGGGATATACCTGGATGTTGCTTTCGACACCATAGACCTAGCCCCCTCAGATTTAACCTTCTTTTCTTTCCGTTCTCTGATCTGCATACCAAAACCATCCCGTAGTAAGAATAAACCCGTACACAATCTTTTTGTTCCGTGATTCTACATAAGCCTCTATGTTTCTCAATCCAGTACTAAGTTTACAACTAACCTTCCTAATGTTGGTAAGAAGTTTCATGTGTTCTTCAGGCATCACAACCTTGACCGCATCCAAGCCACATTTTCTGACAAGCATTTCAAGTAACTGCTTAACCTGGAAAATTAACAGATGAAAAATGTAAATTCGGACCCATCAGAATGCAAAAGAACGATTCCAGAATGAACTTATAAAAATACCAACTTTAGCTTTGAAGTGATTTTTTGGGCCATCTTGCCACTTAAGCAAGCCTTCCACCAAACTCGATAAGTGCATCTGCAACACTTCACCGTTTGATTTGGCCACCAAAACCTTTAAAAATCCCAAATTGGCCTGCAGAAAATGAGAGTATAAATAAAACTAAAGAGATATCAAAAAAGATACAAGCAAAAGGGAGAAAGGAATGCTGACTTTGATTATTTCTCTGTTCTTTCTTTGGAGAAGCAAAAAGGTAGATGGCAGCAAATTGCAAGCTGCTGAAACTAGATCTGAGAATTCATAAGCCAAGCGAGCTAATCCTTTTATTGCAGCACTGATCATATGTGGAGTTTCACCAGCAAGACCTCCAGCTACCTGAGATATTAATATTTATAATGGCATTATATCAATTGATATTGAGTCAATTTAGCTAGATGGACAGTGGGAGGGGTTGTGGTGGGGAGGATAAACCATTAATGTTGTTCACATGAGAAGTAACTAAAAAAAAGACTTGGAAACAATTTACCATATTGAAAAGCTGATACAGATAGTCTATCTTTCCACCTTTGTTATCGTCCATACATGCATGACCAATCTGAACAAGAATATCATAAGCTCTGTTTCTTGTTTTCTTATTAGCCTGAAAGATAAATGCACGAGACAATTAGCACTTATAACAAAACATTCATGAAACAACAATACACGAGTTAAGAACAACACAAGTAACATGTTGAAACAAGCTGAATGTCATTATGTAGATAACGTACAATTCAGTAAGAGAAATCCCAAAAGCTCATAGTAGTTTCAACTTATATGAGGTCAGTCACAAGCTGTACTAAAAACAATAACTAATTTCAAACACCATATAAGTTCTGCTCCTTTTCGTGGCCTTTTGTTTTCCCATGTAATCTTTCACTTTATTCTCAACGGAAGTCAAGATTTCTTGTAAAAAAAAATTCTGACACCATATACCCTCTAGATTGAGCTTATATGGTACAATGTAACAATCTGAAGGCAAGCAAACCTTCCATGGTAATCTATGCCACCGAGAAATTAATAAAAAAGTATTACATGCAAGTTTTGTTTATCACATTAGTAAATAGAAATCTTCTGATCACAACATAGATAATACAGAATTTACCCCAAGTACAGAAATCATGAATCTTATTTCCTGCTGGAAAAGAAACTGAGTAGAGATGAAAATTAGAAAAGCAGGTAAACAATTGGAAATAAGAATAAAAATGCATTGAACATTTTTTATTTTTTAGTTTGTTATGACGACAAATGAAACGTCCTACAACCTTATGACGATCATTTCAAGAAAAGAACTACAATTCTTCAATAAAAAGGTCATTTGCAAATTTTATGATAGGGCGGCAATAAGCCTTTCAAAGTAAAAAAGAAAATGAAAATTTTCTTAATACAAGTATGAATTTTGTCGAATTAAATCTTTTTTGAAAAAAAAAAGATGAAGGAATATCACTAAAATGATTAATGACAGAAGTATTCAGAGAAGCAAATAAGTAAAGGAAAAAAGGATGTAACCGAGTCTAAAATAATCGTCTTCATTCTCTTTCAAAAAGATGGCTCTTGCCACAAATGCCTTAATATAAGTATTGCCAAATTTCACGATTAATAAACTATTACTTCTCTAGCTTCTACCAATGCCCCTACAAAATCCCTACGTAAGTAAATTTAAGAAGAGGTTGCCCTCATTAACATCGAAACATTATAAATCTGCTCCAGAAGTAAGCAAAACAATGAAGAAAACATGAGAAGACAAGCAATATCATTATTAATGCCTCCACAACTAAAACATCCATAACAGAATCAAACAATTTAGAAGATCTTCTCTGCAGCATATCATTCAAGTTAATTTTCTGTCTGCAACACTCCAAACATTCAACAAATTTTAAACTTAGATCATCATACAATCAAAACCAGTCTAAAGGAAAATAAATAATTACAAAAATTATTTTTTAAAGATAACTGAGAAGTATTTGCAAAAAAAAAAAGTTACAGTAATCAAATTTTGATTAGACTTGGTTAAAGAAAAAGAGAAAACTGAAGTGCACCACAGATACAAATTTTCTCTTCACGTGCCAAATGCACGTACATAAATAATTTAGAAAATCTTAGTCATGATAAAGTACCAACTGAAATTATTCCATCGTCATCAAATAGTAAAAATCCTAGAAGAAGGTAGACTGACACATAAAAAGCCATATAATTCAATTAGAAGGAGGAAATATTATAACATGAAGAGAAAAAAAATAGAATACCTCTTTGAGCGCAAGTATTATTTCAGTCAAAAATGAACTAATGATGTCATGCCGTCTCAACCCTGAATCCTCCTGAGGGAATCAAAAGTACCAAATTTGAAATCACAACGGG